AGGGTGGCTAAGAGCCCAGATCTTGAAGCCAAAAGCCTGTAGAAAAAGTTCTTCTACTTACTAGTTGATCTTGGATCAAATTTGACTTTAGATCAAATAAATTTTTTTCTCAAATAAATTTCTCTTACTCTCAGTTTTCTCATTGTAAAATGGGGATAATAAAAGTACTTTTCTCCTCAAGTGTCCAGTGACTGAAACAGTGTAAGTATAGGGCTTGCCACTGTGCTTAATAAATGTTAGCTATTAATATACTTTTAAAATCATTATTCAGCACTGTGTGCTCAACTGATTGTGCTGCTGCTCTGTGCTAGGCCTAGGATGCAAATATGAATAAAGATACTTGCCTGTCCCTCAAGATTCCTGAAGAGAGGCAATAAAGGAACCATTCCCCACAGCGTACGATAAAATACGATGGAAATAATTGCCTGAATAAGGTATGTATCAACTATGGCACAATAAGAGCGCTGGAGGAGGAGCATCAAAGTCAGAGAAGGCGTCTCAAAATAGGTAGCATTTGAAATCAGATTTAAAGGCTAAAATGAATTCTTATAAAGCCCTTTGAAGCAGTTAAATCTTATTAAACCCAATTCAGATCTAAAGGCCACATATCAAAGTCAATTATACAACCAGGACTAATTCAATCCAGGAGCTCAAATCAACTAAGGTCCGCATCCTTCTAAGTGAGTGCCAGCACCCGGAGACAGCAATCCCCACACCCAACAAGGTAAGAGCCTCTGCTCACTTTCCCGGGGAGAACCCGCACACCTTTGTTCTCACTGCTTTTGTCACTCTGAAATGTCCTCTCTCACCTCTCATTTTGTCCAATACATAGCATCCTCTTTAGAAGTCTGCTCTCCATCGCCCCCTCCCCCAACTTGAGCACTTTTTCAGGACTCCAGAGGCAGGTAGAATCTGCCTAAAACCTACCAGGTGCAAAGTAACATTTGATTGACCTTTCATGTGAATGTCAATCTTCTCAAAAAGAAGAGGGAGATAGGAGGCAAGAAGGGAGGAAGATCCAGAGGAAAAATATGAGAGGGTCACAGAAAAGAACAGGTCAGAGAGAGACAGAGGGGGAAAGAGAGAGAGAGGTGAAAAAGCAGGAGAGATTGAGACAGAGAATGGAGCAGCCAAGTGGAGGAGAGGGACCCCAACTGTGAGGGGAATGGAACATGCTGGGGGGTGGGGGATGAGGAGCAGAGGAGACAGCAATGTCAGCACAGAGAACGCGTCAGTAACCACCTACCTTCTCTTTCAATGACATTTTGAATGAGTAATGGAAATAAATCAAAACAGCATATGCACATTGTCAAAAGTTTGGAAGATACAGAAAAGGGTAAAGATAGTTTTTTAAAATGTACATTACAAAACACACACATAAACATCACCACCTTTTAACATTTTGATGTATTTCTTTCCAGACTTTTCCATATATATCCCTACATGGTTGAAGTTGTACTATATATATATGCCTACTATACATATTTACTGGCCATCTAGTATGTGTCAGGTCATGTATGGACAAGGCATAGGACACACAGGAAGCTCATAATCTTGCTAGATATACCATTGGATGGTTGGACCAACTGGAGTCAAAACACCACGCCTGCCAGCTCCCTAATTTCCCTTTACTCATTTGTACAAAGTGTATGTAATAATAGCACCTAAATGTTAGAGTTGTCAAAACAATCAAAAGAGATAATCCAGCCGAAACCGGTTTGGCTCAGTGGATAGAGCGTCGGCCTGCGGACTGAAAGGTCCCAGGTTCGATTCCGGTCAAGGGCATGTACCTGGGTTGCAGGCACATCCCCAGTAGGAGATGTGCAGGAGGCAGCTGATCGATGTTTCTCTCTCATCGATGTTTCTAACTCTCTATCTCTCTCCCTTCCTCTCTGTAAAAAATCAATAAAATATATTAAAAAAAAAGAGAGAGATAATCCAAGTAACATAGAATAGCCAAGTTAAGGTGAATCTTAGATGTTGCTTTGGGTCAATAATCACCTATTATCCTCAACTCTTTGAAATATGGATTTGCTCAGTGATCTCAAACTGTTCTTTAACTCCTTCAGCCTCTTTAGGACTCCATGTTGAATGTGATAGGGGGGCACCTACCTTCCAAGAAGGGTGACACAGCTACATCACCTGAGACAGAGAACGTCCAGGAAGACTAACGCTCCCCACCTGGTTCTGAAAAGTCCCGGGGTCTACAGCAGCACTGTCCAGTAGAAATATAATGAGAGCTAAAGAAATAATTTAAAGTTTCTCAGTAACCACATTAAAAAATATTTTTAAAATAGGTGAAATTAATTTTAATTATATATCATATTTATTCCAATATAACAGAAACATCATTTCACATGAGGACCATATAAAACATTATTGAGATAGTTTGCCTTTTTTTTTTTTAACTAAACCTTTAAAATCTGTATGTTTACTTATAGAACATTTCCAATTTGGGTCAACCGTATTTCAAGTACCCTATAGCCACATGTGGCTAGTGGCAACTGTGTTAGATAATACAAGTCTAGAGTCGAAAGCTGAAGGCTAAGGACCAATTAAGCTGTGGAGTGAGTGGTCGTGAGCCTGGGGACGATATTGATTTTCTTTAAGGTCACCTTAATGGCTTGATGCTGTACTTAATTCAATAGAGAAAAAAAGGCTGAGGAGTTGCAAGCCATTTTGTTTAGTGAATGTACAGACACTACTTTGTTGAATATAGAAATAAACCAAGTAAATTAGCAAGTTGGGACAAATAAGAAAACATTTCAGCCCTAAGCATCAAATATCCTGAATTGACTTGAAAGGTGCCCTGACGTGCATTTTTCTTAGTCGTGTAGCATCTACTCTCAACATCAAGTTTATTTCTTGATAAATATTTTATTTTAAAAATTAAATTTGAAGTCAATTTCCGTTAACTTCCTCACTTTGAAATTTGGTTTGTAAACCTTAAGCAAATCAGATATCCCCCTCCCCCTAATTTTATTCTACTTGAGCTGGTCATTTGACCACTCTGGGTCAAACATAATGAAGATATTGAGTTAAGTGCTATGATTTAATACCTAATATATAACATTTAATATATGTCAGGCACTTTGCATCAATTATCATCGCTGCCATAAGCTTCAGAGGTAAATACTATATTATCCCAATTTTCCAGATTGGGATGCTGAGGTGGAGAGCAGCTTGCTCAAGGCCAAAGAGGTCTGTAAAGCATGCTAAGGAAGCCTAACCTATGGTGAGGGGCTCCAGAGAAACTTCCTGGAGAGAGAGTTGAAACTAAATCTTGAAGAATGAATTGGGTTGACTTAGAAGATTCAGTTGAGAGCGGAGGGAGAGGGCCAGAAGGAAGGGTAGAACTGAAAAGCTTGGTGTCAATAAGAAAAGATTTGGCTGAAAAAGTAACCCCAAGGCCAAATCATGAAGATTTGGATTTCATCCACAAGAGAGTGTGCACCCATTGAGAAAAACTTTAAACATGAGAGTGCCCAGCTAAGATTTGTTTTTAGAAACAAGATGCCAGGAGACTCGTTGGGGGCCCTGTGGTAATCCCGGCAGGAAGTGAAGAGGCCTGAACTAATTAAGAGGAGCTGATCTAAAAACCTCCTTTCTGTTTTGAATTTATTCCCTCTATCAAGGCATGAGCAAGGAAGATAGGGAAGTAGAGGAAATCGCTTTTGCAAAATGCTGAGCATTCCTTTCTTACTGAGCAGACGATTTTCTTCAGAGTAGCCAAAGCTGACAGAGGAGACCAGTGCAGCTCTCTGAACCTACACCTCCTGCTAAAAAGTTCCCAGAGGACTTTGGTCTCACAGGACAATTATCCCTGCACACAAACCAGTTTGCAATTTTATTGTTCTCTTCCCCCAAGAACAGGTTCAAAGGCGTTCAAAATATGTGACCAGCCAAGAAAATAGGAAGATTACTCTAGAATCTCTTGGTTCTACCATGAGTATATAAAGGAGTCAATAGTAATACAGAGGAAGGCAACAGAGTTGTATACCATTTGTACCACTGGCTTTGACATCCATTCACTCACTTCATACCTACTGGTATTTAATATGAACAAGATCCTGTGCTAGGTGCTATGATGATGAGGCAATACACAACAGTGAATCAGAAACAGATCTGACCCTCAAGAAGCTATTAGTTCTCAGACAGTAAGACATGCACTAGATTACGATGTTATGTTGAAAATGCCTAAAATGGGTATAAGTCAAACGTTGTGAACTGAAGACAATGGTGCTAACCCAGGTAACAAAGACCAAAAAGTTAGTGGAGAAAAACTTTTGCATTTAAAGTGTATAATAATTGCCCTAACCGGTTTGGCTCAGTGGATAGAGCATTGTCCTGGGGACTGAAAGGTCCCAGGTTCGATTCCAGTCAAGGGTATGTACCTTGGTTGCGGGCACAACCTCAGTGGGGGGTGTGCAGGAGGCAGCTGATCGATGTTTCTCTCTCATTGATGTTTCTAACTATCCCTCCCCCTTCCTCTCTGTAAAAAATCAATAAAATATATATATTTTTAAAAAGTGTATAATAATTGATGTATAAGATTTGGACTTGCAGAGATTTGGAGAAGAGTAGTTGTAGGCCACTGTTTCCTGAAGTGGAGTTTGAGGACAAGGTTCTGAAGAATGTTACTGGAATTCCACATGTAAAAGGATTCTTGGCTGTACTGGTAATTTGCCTATTTGTTCTTAGATTAATTTCCTTTTCTCCCTCTGCCCTGTTCTGTACTGCAAGAGGTTGCTCTTGCAAAGGACATTTCTCAGGCTCTCCTATGGTTTGGTTTGGTCCATGGAGGCAAAGGAAGCAAACGAGGGGCTATGGGGGTCTTTCCTTCTCCCTTGCTTCAGGCAGTATCTCCAGTAATGGCTGCATCTTCTTTGTGGCTCCAACTGTAAGCCAGACAAGTCCCTCTCTGCTGGGCGATCCTAGCTCTTGGGCTGGTGTCTTTATCATCTATTGCCGCATAATAAATTACCTTGAAACTTCACAGCTTAAAACAACAAAAATGTTATTATCTCACACAGTTCCTGAGGTTTAGTAATCTGAGAGTGGCTTAGCCAGGTGGTTCTGGCTCAGAGCCTCTCATGAGGTTACAGTCAAGATATTGGCTGGAGCTGCAGTCATCTCAAGGCCAGAGTAGAGCTGAAGAATTCACTTCCACATTCACTCACATGGTTGTTGGCAGAACACAGTTCCTAGCTGGCCTGAGACGTAAGTATTCTGCCTGGTGGTCTTCTCCTTAGAGGTGCATTCAACATGGCAGCTTGCTTCTCCAACAGGGGGTTATTCAAGAGATAGAGCTAGAGATAGAAACAGAGCTAGAGATACCAGAATGGAAGCTGCAGCCTTTTTAATAACCTAATCTTCACAAATAACATACTGTCATTTCTGCCACATGCTGTTGGTCATTCAGACCAACTGTGCTACTTGTGGGAAGAGCCTACACAAGGGTGTGAATACCAAGAGGGAGGATAACTGAAGGCTCTCTTGGAGGCTGGCTACCACAGTCCTTCCTCTGATCCCGTGATTCATGTCTCTCCCATATGCAAAATACACTCACTTCCTCCCAAAGTCACCAGAAGTCTCACCTCATGAAGTCCAGCATCTCCATCGAAATCAGGTGCAGGTGCAGTTGACTTCCTTCAGTATAGCTCTTTGAGTACAGTTTCTCTCCCCTTGGAAAAAACCAAAACTATTTGTCCCTCCATGCACTCAACATACAATGGTGAGATAGTAACAGGGTAACTGCTATAGACATTCCCGTGCAAAAAGAGGGGAAATAACAGGCACAAAGGAGTCACTGGCCCATTTATTTCTGAAATCCAGCTGAGCAAACATTGAAAGTTTCTTGATTAAGTCGCAAGGCCTGGGAATAATTTTCCTGGTTCTCAGAGCCATGTTCTAGGGATCAAGCCCACAATCGGGGCATGTACCCTTGACTGGAATTGAACTGGGGACCCTTCAGTCCGCAGGCCGATGTTCTATCCACTGAGCCAAACCAGCTAGGGCTGGACAGTTTTTTTTTAATTGATTTCAGAGAGGAAGGGAGACGGAGAGAGAGATAGAAATATCAATGATGAGAGAGAACCATCCATCGGCTGCCTCCTGCACACCCCCGACTGGGAATCAAGCCCAAAACCCCGGGCATGTGCCCTGACCGGGAATTGAACCAGGACCTCTGCTCATAGGTCGACGCTCAACCACTGAACCAGGCTGGCTGGGCGGGCTGGACAATGTTTTATTGTCAGTACTCTGGATGTGATCTTTGCTCAGAATCTATATCTTAATTTTAGCATTGTTTGCCATTTGGAGAGGCTGAGAATTTTCAAACCCAGAAAATTATGTCTCCGTTTTGTTTTACAGTTCTCCCTTTAGTTTACCTCTCTCCTCTCACGTTTTACTATAAGCAACAAGAAGAAACCTTTGCTTGAAAATCTCCGTAGCTAGATCACCCAGTTCATTAGATGCATTTTCTACCTTTCAGTTACTGCAGGCAACAGTGTTGCTAAACTTTCTGCTACTGTATAATAAGGATCCCCTTTCCTCCAGTTTCCAATAACATGACCTCATTTTCTTGCAAACCTTCACCTGCAGCAATATTAAAGGTCAAGATACTTCTATTAACAGTTTATTCAGAGTATTTTAGACTTTCACTAACACTCTCCCCAAAGCCCACTGCCCATTTTAGGATTTTTGTTACAGCAGAATCCCACTTCCAGGTACCAACACCTATATTAGTTGTCTATTGCTGTGGGTCACATTATTCTGAAACTTATCAGTTTACAACAACAAATATTTATTTTCTCACACAGTTTCTGAGGATCAGGAATCTCAGACCTGGCTTAGCGAGGGGACTCTGGTACAAGATTTCTCATGAGGTTGCAGTCAAGATGTCAGCCAGGGCTGGAGTTATTTCAAGGCTTAACAGTAGCTGGAGAGCCTACCGCCAAAAATATGTTACCACATCTAGACAACACTGCCTCCTCTAGTCCTAGAGCCCTAGGGTAGCATCTCCTTCATATTTCTCACTTCTGGGTTGTCTCACCATCCTACCTTTTTAATTCCTTCAAAAAATTTAACACTAGTGTCTCATATTAGATTCCCTGGCATAGGTGCTATTCTCTGTTCTGGATCCTGACTCATGTAAGTCTTGTGTGGAAAAAGCTATTGTTTGTGAAAAAAAAAATTCTTTACTGTAGGACTTCTCAGAGCTTTTAGTATACTAATATGTAAATCTCTGAGGAATCTGAGGAATCTACAGTATGCAGCATTTCCAAAACCTGTTTTCGGGTTGTTTTTACATGCACCTAATAGCTAGCATGCATAAGCCATGCATTAGAAACTATGAGTATGTGAAGGAAAGCAGTAGAAAATCTGGTATATAAGAGGATAGAGGATGAATCATATAGGGCAAAGTATTTGAACTCTATCCTGTAGGCATTAGGGAGTCATTGAAGGTTGTATCCTGTTGGGTGAAAAGTTAGAATTTTTGAGCTAAACTGTTTAATCATTGTAATATACATTTCAATTACTAAAAGGACTTATATTCTTTTCACAGGGACAATCTCAACCTTTATATAGTTCTCCTCTGTAAGACTATTCTAAAGGCAAAGTACTGCCCTCTCCCTCAGTGACTTGCCAAACCGAGGCAGTGTGGTGCATAAACTTTGGCATTAAAGATTTGTATCCTGAATTTGCTAGCTGTATGACCTAACTTTTCTAAGCCTCTGTCCACAAAGTAATGTAAGCAGAAGAGACACAAAATAGCATATATACTCCGATTAAACTATGTAAAACTGTATGTATGTATATAACGTAGTGCAGTGGGAATCAGAAGAGCTGAGTTCTAGTTATGACAGAGGCTTCACTTGGCTAGGTATCAGTACCTGAGCAATTTACCTGCTTGCTCTGTTTTATCATTTGTGAAATGAAGGAATTAGTTGAGAATGATTCCAAGGGCATTCTTAGTGCTAAAGTTCACTGATTCCATAGTTCAAAGATTTTGAGTGACATAAATAGTTTACTGTTGATTACCTTCTTCCCGTAAAGTTGTTCATGTTAATAAAGATGTTAAAAGGACACTGCATGTCTTCAGTAAGACACAGGGGAGAAATTATATTAGTCAATAAGATTTAGTGACAGATAAGCATACTATTTTCCTTAAGCCTTACTTAAAAAAGAAAAAGGCAATCGGAAGTCACTGAAGGTTTTGGAGTAGAAAAGTGACACGATAAAAGCAGCATTTTAAACCTGAAAACAAGAGAGAATGAACTCAGAATGACCCATTAGAACAGTGGTTCTCAACCTTCCTAATGCCGTGACCCTTTAATACAGTTCCTCATGTTGTGGTGACCCCCAACCATAAAATTATTTTCGTTGCTACTTCATAACTGTGATTTTGATACTGTTATGAATCATAATGTAAATATCTGATATGCAGGATGTATTTTCATTGTTTGTGACCCACAGGTTGAGAACCGCTGCATTAGAAGGTAACTGACAATAAAGTAGGCATGTGGAAGTGAAGGCTTGAACTTGGAAGGGGGCAGTCATTTCTTCATTTATTTATTTGTTATTTATGGCCCCTCACTGTGCTAAGTGCAGGGGCAGGGGAGACACTCTGAATACACAACCATTCTCCATCCCCTTCCCCAACTTAATTTTCTTCATAGAATTTACTATTCCCTGAAATTTATTTGCATTTTGTTTATTTATTATTTTATTGTCTGTCTCACCTTCCACAATCCATTTCATGAAGGCAGACAATACCATGTATACAAGAACTCAATCAATACTTGCTGAATGAAAGAATAAATGAAAATTATATTGAATCTTATAGAGAGACTCAAACATCTTTTCTGATACATTTTTATGGCTTTGTACCTTCAGGCTATTTTAACACCAAAAGCCTTTACAGCTCCTCCTGCTGTGTTCATGATAAAATTAACTTAAGAATTATTCCTATGACTGTCCTCCCTCCTTTCAGCCTACTACCAAAGTATTTCCCCATAAATTGTATTCCCCTTCTGTTCAGAAATCCTTGTCTCTGATATAGATGAAGCTAGAAGATGATTATCCTTTCTGAATTATCTATACCTAGATAGTTGTTCATTAATTTAATACAATGGTTAAATACTCATTCCTTACAGCTTCAGTTCACAAACCTGGTTTAAAGGTAAATGACCTGTTGGGGGATGGGACAGAGGTGAGGGTCAGAGCCATGGGTGAGAGCTCACAAGGACAACAATTAGCTTTAAAACTGCTCAACTCAGCCATGGGCTCCAACACCCCTCCCTCGGGGCGATGCTTGAATCTGCTTTCCTTAAAAACAATAGCATTTCACTTTTTTTCTTTAGCGCCTTTATTGTTATGCCCAGATTTCAGGATCCCCAAGAAACCACACCAGGGAGTCAGCCAGGTCCGATGCAAAAGCATAAGAGTCTGTATTCGAGCTAGCTCGGCTCCCCCACCTCGCCGACGCAGCAGCAGGAAGCAGAGAGCGAGAACTCTGCGTGGAGAGAGGTTTTATAGGGGGGTTGGAGTAAGGGGAGGAGAAAGGACTGTGGGCCCTGCTGATTGGCCAGGCGCAAGTCGGTGTCTTGTTCCTGGGTGTGGCTAGCAGAGGCTTAGACTTCCGGGAAGAAGCTCCTTGCCAAGCACATGGCTGCCCCAAAATGGAGGACACAGGGTAAGATGGAGGGTGTAGTCCTCGCCCTTTCATTTATCAGCATTTTACATTTGTTGAGCACTTAAAAGTTTACACAATGCTTTGACCCCCATGATCTTACTTACATTTTACTAATCTCTTTATTCTCAGATTATTGCTCCCCTCCCCACCCTCCAGGAGAACTAAGGGGAAAACTAGAGGAACAGATGTGGGAAAAGAAGGTTTGTAGACAGTGAATTATAAACTGACTAAATGCTAACACCATAATCATGATGAGACCAAAGCTGTTTGATTGGCTTGGTTTCTTCACTCTGGATAGGTTGATTTATTACCTCCCAAGAGCTGTCTTTGTCCTTTGTCCTATGCTGTCTGGTTCATCTATAATTAGTTGTGCTGCAAGGTTCATTCTACTCCAAAGCGAATGTAGGTGCCACTTGTGTCTCAGTCAGTTGGTACCTGACTCTGTCTTCCTTGCAAGCTGGACACTGGCAGCTCCTCATCTCCTACCCCGCCCCTCCCTCCGCCCCCCTTAATCTCCTTGTTAGCTTGGCCATATCGCCTGTGCAGGGCCTTTTGCTGACTAAGAAATAAATTATTTTTCCTTTTGTTCTAACATCACTCTTCCAAATTCCTTTCCCTAATTACCTGACCTCAGATTATTTCTACTTTTTCTTCTTGTTATTGTTGTTTTTCTGATACTTCCTGCAATTGCACTTGTTGATTCTCTTTTTATCTTGTGTGTTGTGGGCGGCTGATAATCTGTTCTGTCCCCATTATCTCAGGTTAACAATTCCACCCACTTTCTTGGATATTAATCACTCAGGTGCCCTGGGGAACTGTGACTTCTCAAAGTCATCTCATTACATTTTTACCAAGGCCAGCTCAATACCTTAGGGACCCTGGTAATAATAAAATAATAACAATGGCCATTATTGAGCATTTACTAACATGTAGTGCCAGGCAATTTACAGAAGTGATTTTATTGAATCCCCCACACAACCCAGTGAGGTCAAAATGGAGGAGGTAGATCAACAGAGGCTTTATTTGCATGACTGGAAATTAAACCACATACTAAAGATAGTTACCGGATATGGTGGGGTATATGACTAGCCCTATACACTAAGATTCCCAAGCTCTCAGGAAAGACTTTATAGAGATTATACCATATGTAGAAAAAACTAACCCTGAGTGGGGAGAGAGGTGAGTCCTGGCATACATTTACTAAATCTAGAGATGGAAAATCAAACTCATAG